CGTCAGGCAGACGGGTTAAACCAGGTGAGTGCAGCCGGGAATACTATTCCCGGTGAGTTGTTAATCGCGTGCGACGTCAGTCCTGATAATTAGGCGGAAAAGATTGACCCTTGACCCAACAGCAAAAAGTTAAGACAATTTCCCAGATCCCTGCTGCCTTGAAGGTAGCACTTGGCTGTGCAAAGGCTAGAGGTGAACACTCGAACAAAAGCCGGATGAGGTTGGGGTTCTCATACGTACCCATAATCCGCACGAAACTTCATGACATGTCCGTTACCCGCGATTCTTTTCATGTTACGGTGTTCCCGGTAGGCGACGCGCTCTGCGCTAGCCCAGTGGCCAGAGTGACATGTAAGCTAACTGGATCTCTCAATCCCCGGAAGCCACTATTCATTGGATGCTGGAATGGCAAAACTCAGTTGGATGTCGGCAGCCAAGGGTTGACGATGCGCACACTACATGATTACCAGATCGACATAACATGCCTGTCAGTATCTCGAATACCCGGCTACAGCTCAGGACAAATCAAAGTCTCTGGTGTAGACACCTCATATTGGCTTTACAACAGTGGGCCGGAAGATAATTCTGACAATCAAGGGGTCGCCATGGCTCTCAGTTGCCAGATACACTATGCTCTCCTTTCATGGAAGCCAGTATCAGCTAGAATAGCAGTTGCGTGCTTCAAAAGTCACCCAGTGAATCTGATCATAATATATGTCTACGCACCAACCCTACCCTCAGCGGAAAGTGATAGACGAATTTTACCATACTCTACAGACAGTGGTGAACCATGTTCCAAAAAGCGACATCCTCATTATTGCTGAGGACTGGAATACACGAACCGGTCCTAGGAAATATCAAACCCGACACATACTCGGGAGATACGCCCTTGGACAGCGCTTAACCTTAACCGGTTGTGGGTAACCAATACTCGCTTAAAGCATCACAGAAAGCATCTTCTGGCGTGGTACTCCAGCGATGGTCGTACAGCAAGCCAGATAGATTACATCTAAATCCGATCCAGGAGGATGTATGCCATCAATGACTGTCGAGCGTATAAAGGAGCTGAAACAGACAATAGAGGTAATTCGGATCACGTACCCCTGAACGCCAAATTCAGATTCCGCTTGACAACGCGCCGAACGACCCTTCCACCAAAGCGTATCAACACTGCCCCACTGGAAAATACTGACTGTTGCCGATCCCTTGAGGCAGCAATAGAAGCAGAAATTTCTGCCAGTGCACCACGCCTCGTAATTGCAGAAGATGAAACTGTAGACGCTCGTTGGCTAAAATCGTCAGTTCAACGGGCCGCCCTGGGCTCTACCTCAAAGCCTGTGAAGGACTGGATCACTAAAGATACTATCCGCTTGTCCGCTAAAGCGCGAGAAGCACATCACACGAATTCCCCAGACAACCGTTGCTTAAGACGTGAGGCAACCATCTCGGCACGGAATGATCGCAACCGCTACTGGTCTGACATCGCAGGCAACATATAAGCTGCATCTAATTCTGGCAATTTGGGTCATCTCTTCCGTCTCGTCCGTTTAGCTTCCAGCAAGCACCGTTCATCACAACCGATATTGCGCAATTTGGAAGGTTAAATCATCCCCGATAGGGAAGGAAAACTTTCCAGATGGGTAGAGTATTTTAGCAACTTTCTAAACCGCCCGCTACACACCACCGCACCAAGTTCAATATCAACCCATCCAGGATATGACGCGGATTGCTCACCGCCATCTCCCACAGAAATTGCAGACATAGTTCGTCACCTGAAGCCAAAGAAAGCACCGGGAGAGGACGGAATTCCAGTAGAAATATACAACTCTTATCTACCAGCTCTCCTTGACCATTTGCACAAGCTCTTCTGCTCGATATGGGAGACCGAAATCTGTCCTTCTTCGTGGAGTACTTCAGTACTACTGCCATTTCCCAAGAAAGATGACCGAACTATGTGTAGTAATTATCGCACTATTAGCCTAATCGATGTGGCTACCAAAACCTTCGCACGAATCTTGCTTTCCCGCCTTTCCAATAAGAGGAATCTGCGAACTCGTCATAACCAAGGGGGCTTTCGTCCAGGCAGAGGGTGAACTGACCGAATCTTCACTCTACATCGAGTACTCGAACACCGCCACCAGTTCCAGCAACCTACGCTTGTGTGCATCGTTGATTTTTGAGCTGCCTTTGACCCAGTTGACCGCGAAGCACTTTGGAGAATCCTACTTGCGATGGCGTGCTGGTTAAACTCGTTAACTTGATGAGATCATACTACCGTTACGTGAAGGCCCGGATTCGGGTCTACGGAGAAGAAACAGGAATTCGACATCAACATTGGGGTCCGGCAGGGTTGCCCACTTTCCCCATTGCTGTTCAACTTCGCAGTGGATTGGGTTATGCCCTTGAGGGCTATCGTGGTGTTCAAGTTAGCCCTGACTTCTGGTTGTCAGATCTAGAATTTGCTGACGATATCGCTATCCTTGTGGAAGATGCTATATCACTACAGTCACTGCTAAATCGGGTCGACCAATCAGCCTCTATGATCGGCCTCGAAATTAACATCAGCAAGACGAAATACTTCTCATCGTTAGTCACCCAGTCCACCCCGTCGCTCTCCTTACATGGACAAATCGTTGGATCTGTTCCTGAGTTCAAGTATCATGAATCCACTATGCTCACCAATGGTTAGGATACACCCGAAACCTGGAACCGTATTGACAGCGCTAGAACAGCCTTCTTACAACTAAGAAACACATTATGGCGAAGGAAGAAAATTAATCTGAGAACGAAGATCCGAGTATTCTCAGCAAGCATTCGCGCCATTTTACTCTATGGTTGCGAAACATGGTCGCTGCGATCCGAAGACATCCGGAAGCTGGAAGTTTTCGACCAATGGTGTTTAAGGCTCATCTTGAAAACGCAGTGGCATGAGTGTATCACCAATGACGAAATTCGTAAGCGCTGTTACGGTCTTCTGAAGCTCACAACGCTCATTCAACGCCGCAGACTTCAGTGGTTCGATCACGTCCTCCGCAGTCCAGACACTGACTTCACTAGGGCCGTGATTTCACCCTCGCCTTGCCAGGGTTGGTATCGTCGACGTAGTGGACAATTGAAAACGTGGCTCACTGCAGTGAAATCGGATGTCGATCTTCTGGGACTCCATGTTGAGCATGGTGCTCGTCTCTGGAGGAATCATTGGATCAGTATCTTCGTAGAGCTTGCTGCCGACCGCCGAGCTTGGGCAGCTGCAATTCGCGATATTCATGAAGCCGGCTCATCCTGTCACAGGAGCTAGCCGCAGTAAAGTAAAGTAAGTAAGTAAAGGGAAGCGGCACGTGGGGAAACCGGGGCTTCCTTACCAGGACTTGGTCAAGGTGAACCTATTACGTTCTAATATTGATTTCAGGTGTTGGGAATAGCAGGCGGTTGATCCGCGTGAATGGCGCGATCTGATCACGAGGACAGTTACCGAGGTGCAAGAGAAATCCTTAGTGTATGCGGAAAAGACACGGCAGGTGCAGAAACGAAAAGCGCCGATGGTGTGCACTCCTTTGACGTCGAGCGCATGAAGCCGTAGAATACGCGGTCGCGAGTGCATGGGTCAGGCAGGCCTAGTGAGCCACGAGCAAGGCACTCAGGGCCAGCATCGAAACGTCGACGGGGCTGTTGAGAACGTTAGCAGAACCGGCGCAGCATTGGTAGGTACGATGCATTCGATTTTCTAACTGCGTGTTTACGTGTTGAGTTTCTTTAATTCAGGTGACCGGTTTGCTATATTTTGTTAATACACCTTGCTACTTCATTTTAATGTCCATCTGAATAATCTTCTATTTACTTACACACGTCGCTTAAACAAAAGGTGGCTACTTTCTTTACTTTTATTCGGGTTTGTTGTATATTCTTTCTGACCACTTTGTCTGCTAGCTTGAATTTATCTCGGATACGTAGTTAACACAGTTATTTCAGTCGGTAACTTAGTAAAGTGTTACATCGGCATATCCGTATGCATGATTCGATTTATGTTATTCGATATCTTCAAGTGATTGGCTGTTGCTTGACATCCTCGGTGTCATTGCGCTTGAAGTGCATGTTGACTAGGTGCCAACCCGTCTATTACCCACTACCTCCTCTATACTGGCTCTAAGAGACAGTTGGTCGTTGCTGGAGGTGACTGGGTGCACATTCCTCGTGACCGTGTTAGGCTCGAAAAGTAGCTTGCTTGTGTGTGAAGCGAGCTACGGCCTAACCGCCGCCTTGTGTGCACTTGATTCTCCAAATACAGCCTGCTTGTGCTTGCCTGTGAAGGAGTGTGGGCCGGCTCCGTCTTATTCCTTCGGATTTACACCGGACATGGGGTGTGTGGATGGAACTGTAGGTGGTGCAGCGCAAGCCGCCTATGGTCCCTTTGTAGGCGCAGGCGTCCCATATATATATATATATATATATATATATATATATATATATATATATATATATATATATATATATATATATAACCGCCCAAACCTATCACAACCTCATATACGATGTGCCGTATAATAAAACGATTGGCTGCGCTAATTGCTTTTGCAAAAACTGGGTCACCAGAACTGGAATGTTGTGGTTGTGCCTGCAAGTACGCAGCACTAATTCAAGGTTTGATGCAAGAAAACCAGCAAAAAGAGTGATGAGAGCAAAAGCGATGCAACTTACTTCCTCGTTTGGATCTGGCGCAGCGCAAGATTGCGTCTTAGAGTCCACACCAAGGACATCGTAGAATAACACAGCGTTTTTATCCGCAGGGTTTAGCTGAAGTTGTGGGAATATTCGCCGATGACAGCTAGCCAACTTGTTGAATTCGAAGATATCCACGTGGATGGTGCCAACTGCACTCACACTTTGCTTTAGCCGATGAGCGAGAGAACTGGAATCAGCCTCGTTGGAGTGGGTGAGGAAGCGTAACAGATTCAAAAAACGCAGGTCCATCAGGTGTATTCTATTAGTTTTAACGTTGATGGTCTTCAAGTCTAATTCGCCAGTAAAACATGACATCAAGTTCTGAATGATGGATAATTTGGTAGCGACTCCATGTGCCTTGGTAAACAGAAAGCAAAGCAGTTGTATCAGGCCTGGATTTATGTCCGCCGTCGCTGAGCTATCTTCCAGACGGGAGCGGTACATAGTGAATAGGGTTTGAGCCCAGAGGGACTTCGTCAATTCGTCCATCTCTGCATGTGATTCATGGCACCACAATGTATTACCAACGTACTGTAGCAAAAGTCGAAATTCCAGTGGTGTTGGACACAGACAGCAGCGCCGAATGGTGCCGTCGGTTGGATGAAGATCAAAATTAACACCACGTAAAACGGCCGCACCCAGGTCTCCGTCGGTTTTGACTATGGCGTCGATGAAATGTGAGATGTGCGTGTTCAGACCAGAGAACAATTCGGAGATGCCCGGAGGATATGTGCTCAATTGCACCGAATGTGTTTGTATCGCATCCAAATCATGTAATAGCCGAATTGCGAGCTCTTCGACAACAAATATAAGTCTGAAAGAGATAGATGACTGCCTAAAGAGAAGAGTAGGATAGACAGCGTGGCAAAAATTACAGAATGGTGATGTTTATTTGGCCGACCAACAAAAGGCAACGTGGAATAAGTACGGGAGAGGACTGGAGTGCCCAGACACAATCCAGTCGGTGAACAGTTTAAACGCACCAAAAGGAACAGCGCAGAAGAGCGTAGGAATTCATTTGTTATAGGGAGAAGCAGGTTGGGAGCTGTGTGAGATAACTAGGCGAATTTGAGGAGAAGAGCAAATGTTTGTCAGCAGAGTGGTTTAAGATAAAAGTTGCGTTCCATGCAAACCATAATTACCTCATGTGCCATTAGGCAGCGAGAGACTGACTAATGGGCTCGCTAGATAGAACCGAGTGTTTGGATAATTTTGTAATATGGACCCGGGGAATCAAATCAACGTAGATTGAGCGAGAAAAATGATGGCAGTAAAATTGGACCCAAAATGTCGAATGTGAAACGGTCAAAGTTACACCGACCGCAAATTTCTAAAATCGGAAATGTAATTCAAAAAAGTGCTACTATGTGAGCAAGTAGAAATGCCGATAGTCCCACAGACGAAATAAAAGTATGCTTACTGAGAAGACTTGCTAGTGAACGGCCCCGTTCCGTGGAATAGTAGCTGACCCCGCATTCCGAAGGATCGATTGAGACATCCTAACAAGGTTGCCAGAAGCTCCAAAGAGGTAAATAGAATCTAGTGTAGAAGATAATTGTTAGAGTTAAGGAAATCACGTACACTATGGTTGGGTGGTTGAGTTGTGTAAGGTATTCTGCCTAAATGTGAAATGGGATGTGCACAGATGTTAAATTCCTTACTCTTCCGAAGGGAGGAAGACGGCAGTGCATCCGAGTTTCTTAGAGCTCATGATGACACCACACCAATAACGAAGGATAAACGATTCTAAAGTACGTAAGAGTAGAATAAGACGATTCAAAATAACAGTGATAAGTCACAAAAGCTTGATTCATTTTGGTAAAAAAAGCTAGGATCCAGGTGGAAGCTGCTCCGACCTGAGTTGCCATGAAAATAATAACCAGCAATTGTGAGGATAATTAGGTAAAGCACAAGAGTTGAAAGAGGATTAGGAAACAAATACGCAATATCGACCTGAGTGAAATATTAAAAGCAAGGACACAACTAACTGTGCGACTTCGGATGTACGATAGTGTCTCCTACCACCGGTGCGGACCATCCCGAGGACCCATCCAAGGTGACGGCACACACCAGCCTGACAAGTCCAAAGGCCAATTTTTATATGCCTTTATATCATACCATCGATTGGGTACCTCGCGGTTTCATCCAAATAGGTAGTGGTAGAAAGTAATGCAACCCGTGGAAGGCGATCAAAGGTCGTAGGGAGGATATGAACCATACTACATAGATAATTCAAACACAGTAGATATTTCAGAGCAGAACTAGAGCGTTTGGTGCTAAGTCATCATTCGCATCATCAACAACAGTACATCAGCCATTTGAACTGATGCACCGCTGCCATACAATCATGAGGACCTATGAAATATAGAATAAGAAGAGGGACAGAAGGGCGACTTACAGGAAAACCTTAATGCCCTAAGCAAACATTCAGGGTCAGGGCGTCTACACCTTGTGTAGACAACATACCGTCACAGAGAGTTGGCTATCGTGAAAAGATAAGGCGGCATCGGCGAGACAGCTTCCCTGCGGCTTTCACTGCCCCGCATCATAATCAGCCATTACTCCGCAGATAACTCAGCACCAAACACACTTTAAACAGACAATCAGATTAGGAGACGGCAGCAGACGCGCCACTGGTGTCGGTTGCGAACCATGTCCTGCAAAGTCTCGAGCCAAACGCAAGGCGAGTCACGTGGACTCCAGCCCGGAAGAAGAGAGGGACCAACGGCACCCAGTTTGGTCGTCAGTGACTTCATTTCCTGCTGCCAAGTCAGCTTCTGTCCACCTCGAGCCTCGCGCCACCCAACACCTCGTAGACGGAATAAGTTCCTCCTAGGTAAGCGGTGACCAGGCATATGTAGCACGTGCCCGAGCCAACGCAACTTATTCAGTGCTAGCTGTTGTTCTCGAAAGCTAGCATGATTATCACTACCTAGCACTCCCCTACGCACATCATAGTTGCGGACACGCTGGTACTATCCGACACCAGCAATGCTTCGCAGACAATGATGATCAAAGACTTGAAGATGCCTCAGATCTTCAGAAGGACGGGGCCAAGTCACACTACTATAGAGCAGAATGGCAATCACTGTGGCCTTGTATGCACGGCCTTTCAGACGGATGGAAATTCCCTTCTGTCGCCAAAGATGCCAAAGGGTTAAAGAAGGCAGCTCTGGCCTTTGCAATGCGTGAGCTGACGTTAGTTTCCATGCGTCCACAGTTGCTGATGCAGCTGCTAAGAAAAGTGAAATGATCAACCACCTCGTGTTCCGCGTTAGCAAGCGTCAAGCGGTCATAAAGTGGATGGTGGTCCTGCAGTAACACTTTGCATTTTGAAGGTGCGAAGTGCATACCAAATAATGGGACCACTCTGGACAGGCTATCTAGGGGTGATAGTGCCGCCGCAACACCGTGGAAAAGCAAGACGATATCGTGCGCATAATCAAAATCAACCAACCTTTCACCAGGCAGCACTTCAAAGCCTACATCGTGAGATTCCCCAAGGAAACATTCCATGATAGAATCCACAACAATATTGAACAAAAATGGGGAAATCGGACAACCCTGACGAATGCCACTTGTGGTCGGAAAGCTATCCGATAGGACACCGTAGACCCTGACGCGGCCTGTAGTGTTCGAGTACAGAGCACGAAGGAGGTTCACATATTTCGTGGGAACACCTTCCCACGCAAGTATTTCGAACAGATCAATCGATCGACTGAATCAAACGCACTCTTGAAATTAAGGAACACCCCTATTGTCGGTCTGCCGTACGCATGGCGCTGCTATAGCATCTGCCGCAAAGTGGATATATGATCTATAAAGCCACGTCCTAGGCGGAAACCGGCCTGCTCTTCCCAAATCCGAGATTCTCGATTCCTAGTGAGGCGACGAACGATAATCGAGGCCAAAGTTTTGTCACAAATGGCGTTAGGCTAATACCCCTTTGGTTAGAACAGTCTGTGCGACTGCCCTTCTTGTATACTGCCACCATAATCGATTCGCTCCAATTAGCCGGGACATCTTTCCAGATACGTTCGAATAGGGCAATCAGTGCTTTGCAGAGGACCTCACCTCCATCCTTAAATAATGCAGGTGGGAGGGAATCCGGGCCAGCGGCACGAAAACGATTGAAGGATGTGATCGCGTTTCGGACCTCGGGCTCCCACGGAGGCTCTAAACTAACCGTCCATGGCTCGTCCTGCATCACCCGAGTAGGAAGAGGTCCGCGAGCAGGGGGCCAGCTGAACTGATCTTGAAAGACCAGCACCATAAATACATTAACCGGTCGACTACCGAGTTTTCTGAAATGATGACTTCCCGATCGGTTCCAAATATGTTCCAAGATATTGATCTTGAAAGTCTTCCGCCCTACGAGCCATACGGCGCTCCTTACTGTGTATCAGCGCACCCGCACTGTCTCTGATTGTCTCAATGACGCCTGGTTCTCTGGGACCAGTGGTGTGGATTAACTGGAAGAGCTTGCGGTAATTGCCTATGGCTCCTGCCTCCTCCAGTACTTGAGCCCTACTGGTCCACCAGGCTTCCTTGTCAGCCCGTAGGCTCCGTTTCGGTTGACGCCTAAGAGCACGTCTGGTCACATTGTGTTCAGAGCCAGCCGGGAGGTGTGTTCTAGATTCCAACAGGTTCACCGACCTCTCGGATATCCAGTGACTGGTGCGGTGACGATGGATAGTGCCACAAGCAGATGCTCTTGCGTCGTGCATGGCGGCCGAGATCCTATTCCACTGAAGCTCAGTGTCATCAGAACAAGACAGCGAAAGTTCGGTACGCAGTGCGTCTTGATAGGCTTGACTGACCGGGGGATGAAACAATTTCTCAGTTGCCAAACCGAGACGATTGGTGCGCTCCCGGTAAAGTTCAGGGAGAAACGACAGCGTACCAAGGCATGATCAGAGTCAACACAGGTATTCCAGTAAGAGCGCCAATTAAGATGGAACCACGCCACCTGTAACTTATGGCTATGTGGTCAATTTAGGTCCATCGCTGGCCAGCTACAGGAGGACGCCAAGTGGCACTTCGGCGCCCATTGTGTCTAAAAGCAGTGCTACTAAGAAACAACTGGTGCTCCGCACACAATTGCAGCAGACGCTCGCCGTTGTCAGTTCGTTCGGAATTAAGCCCATAATTACCACCCAGCTAAGCTTCTGAAGAGCTCAGACGCCCTACTTGTGCGTTCATATCCCCTACAAGTACCATAATAACTGAACTAGTAGCACTGCGTAATAGCGCATTCAGTTCGTGATAGAATGTGTCCTTGAGAGCATTTGAACCGCAGTCGGTGGGAGCATAAGCGGAAATCACGAACCAACAGTGTTTTATACTACTTCGTGAATCAATCTTACCTGATGTCGTCAAACGGGCTGCATATAAACGGCTGTTCACCGGAATCCAATCAATCAACGATGGCTCAGCCTTGGAGCTTAGAATGATACCTACATCAGATTGACCCGTGAGTGCTGCATCAGCGTCTCCGAATGCGTGTAACCAATAACGAGAGGATAAGCCGGGTGCAGTTAATTCAATAACCCCGTTAGGGTCATTGGTCTTAGTTTCGGACACACAACACACATCAATACCCAGTGTGTCCAAGGTACGTGCGGATGCAGCCTGTTGACCTGTTTGTCTTAGACTGCGAATGTTGAATGTCGCCATGGAAACGGGACAGCGTGTTCTTATAAGGGACTGTTGCCGATAGGCGTCGAATAGGTGCTGTGAGATAGTGGCTGCAGATGGTTCTACTCCAATGGCATTTCGGTTGCTGTCCATTAAACTGGGAATTATAGAAGGAAGGTTAGTAATGGGGGTCGGGATGGGAGTAAGAGAAACAGGTGGAAAAGAAAGAAGGGAGGCGCCAGCAGTAGCAGGTTTTCGCTTATCCGCCCTGATGTATGCAGCAGATAAGGCGACCCTTGATAATCAGCGCGACGGTAGATGCAGGATGAAGTTTATGTTTGAAGAAAATGTCATGGTTGTATGTGGGCTGGGATACTGCCAGGGCGCCCAGACCTAGACAGGAGGACGATTAGGGTCCTAATCTAAAGCCTTTGGCTCAAAAGCCTGTCCGCAAGACAGCGGAGAGGTGGCAATGATTTAGTTTTACAGAAATGGACGCCATCCATTTTCAAACCCCCAACCTGGAGGACCAGGAGACTGAGTTTGTCTGACCTCTCACCATTGACCAACCTGGTAGGAGTAGCTCTCAAGGTGCCCGGAGGCATCACCCAGTATAGCTCAATGGGTCAATGAGGTACGCAAACCGTCGCACCACGTTAAGGTCCAGTCTCGTTAGTGCTAAGTACCAACTAATGAACCTAGTGTTTTACATGCGGTGCTCTCACAGATGTAACTAACACCCCGCAAGCATCAATAATAATGGGCGACAAATCTCCTAGTCTCTTCATGACGAAGTTGCCACGCGTGTGGTATAAACAGTACAGCAAAACGTAGCATATCCTAACATGAACCGACATGCTGAGATCCTGCCGTCTCCGTATATGGTGATTTAGAATTTTCAA